TTATTGTTCTTAAGTCCTGGACCAAATTCCATCTACCACTGGGTTGTTTTACAGCTCGTAAGTCTGCATGCAAGACAAGGTGAAGAAGGAACTGCTTATGAGGTTTTCTGTCAATTCCAACAACTAAGAAATAGTGAGAAGAATTGGGACCTCAGAAGGCTTTTAGAACCAAATAGTAGGCTCTTGTGTCCAGGAGAAAATGAATATACTTACCAGTAATGTTAATGCTTACCCACAGCTCTTCTGGGAGGATCTAAATCTAAATCATTGAAGCATCCTCCTTTGTTTCCAGCTGGAAGCTGGGGCCTGTCAGTTCTGTCAGCCACAAGGACCTGATGTGGGCCGCCGTTGGCCATGTGTCCTTCAAATCCACACTTAAAGCAAGTGAGTGGGAGCTTCCTCTCTACTCCCTTGCCTATCAGTGGCTCTCGTCTATGACACTGTATACTGAAGTGGCCCAGCTTTCCACAGTGGAAGCAGTTCTGCCCTCCTTTATTACCTTTGGGTGGCACTGTTTAGGAGTAAGACTTCCTTTTCCTGACACAGGCCCTAAACTGGCAGCAATAGCTGCCCCAATAATTTTGTCCATTCTCTGGTCTTTTCTCCTCCCTCTAGATCCCAGTTGTTAAAAGAGGGAAAAATTTAAGCAAATATATAACAAATAATTTTGAACAATATAATCTTTTAAGTTTAAGGCTAGAAATATTAATAATATGATCATTTTCAATCCAGAGATACATGTTCCAATGCAGTTCCTATTTTCCATAAATGGTTTTCGTAAGAATATTGTAAATGCAGATACAGTTCCATTATTCCTCCTCGTAGCTTGATTTCTTTACCATTATTTAATAGTAATGTTCCTAACTACATAATTCATTAAAAAGTATCCACTCTAAGTTAGAATTAGATTTATATTAGTTATCCCACATGATTCATGGAAATATATTAAATTGTATAAAATTTGACTCTGTAACATTCAGGGATAATATGAAGAATTTCCAGTAAGTTTTAACTACATATAAACTTTTTGCCAGGAAATACTACAAGTTTGGAGAATTTATTTATAAGCAATAATTAATTTTAATCTTTACAAGTAATTTTTATTTAGACACAAAAAGAAGGGTTATAAATAGCTTAGATTATACATTATATATACTATATTACGTTTATTAGTAAGAATAAAAATTAGTAGGAGTTAGAAGAGGAAAAACAGCCAATTAAAAATGGACAAGTCATTAATGTTAAGAAAAGAATGATTCATTCATTTTTTTATAACTATAACAGTAAGAAATATGGAGATAAATGAATCATAGTTCCTTATCCTAAGAGTTTCAGATTACAGAAACTGCAGACAGGTGAACATCATCATAGTGTCCATAGTAAGGCTATAATAGATACAAAAATCTACAGAACAGAGTAGTGATTGGGTTGTTCCAGAAGAGTAAAGTAAGACTTCTCATAGGATGGAGCATTGAACATAGCCTTAAAGGTGGAAAGAACACTTGTGTGCAAGTCTTTTACATGAACTTATTTCCCCCCCCCCTCAGGAATGGGTTTACTAGGTTCAATGGTAACTCTGTGTTTAACATTTCATTAAACTACCAACTGTTATTCACAGTAGCTGGATTGTTTTGTTATACATGCTCTGCAGCAAAGCTTGAAGTTTCTTCATCTCTACCAACAGCAGACACCTTTAAAAAAACCCCAACACAACTACTCTTATAGTCATACTAGTGGATGTGAAGTGATATCTGAGTGTGATTTAATCTGTATTCCCTAAATGACACTGTGGGGAGCTCTGTTGGCATACTAGTAAGGAGTTGTATTGCCAACCCAAAGGCACACAGTTGGAATCTACCAACTACTCTTCGGGAGAAAGATGGGCCGTCTCCTCCCATGTGATTTACTGCCTTTGAGAACCTGCTGGAGGTTCAACTCTGAGTTGATTCTGACTCGACAACACTAAACAACAACAGCAGCAATAGCATTCAGGTGACCTAGTGAGAAAGGAACTGTTCTGCCAATCCAAGCGCAGAAAGGTTGAATCTACCAGATGCTCGGAGGGAAGAGGAGGAACAATCTTCTTCCATGTGATGTGCAACATCTGGAAACCTGCTGGAGCATCAGCTAGGGGTTGGTTCCAACTTGACAGCAATGAGTTGGAGAGCTTGAATGACAAATAATGGTAAGCATCTTTTAATGTACTTTCTAGGGAAAAAAACCAAACAACCTCAAACTCATTATTGTCAAATTGGAACCAACTTATACCTGATCCTCCAGGAGGTTTTCAGAAGCTATCAATTGCACAGGAGGATATTGCGCATCTTCCTGCCATGGAGCAGCTGGTGGATTTGAACCACCACAGCAGGATGGCCTTTGGGTTAGCAGTGCAACCCTCATGGAATAGGCCACCACAGCTCAATATACTTACTGGTGCTTGTAGATCTTCTTTGGAGTAATGCTTATTCAAATTTTTTGCTCATTTTTAAATTGGCAGTGCTGGAGTTTTTTTCAAATTACAGAATGGTTAACAGATGCAAAGACTTGCTATTATATGATTGCATTTATAGGAATGTCCAGAAACAGTTATGTTTCTAGAAACACAAAGTATATTAGCAGTTACCTGGGAATAAGAGTAGGAAGTAAAAATGAACTAGGGAGTTCTGGTGGCCTGGTGGCAAGACACTGTGCTGTGATCGCAAAGGCACACAGATTGAATCCATAAGCTGCTCTGTGGGAAAAGGATGGGCAGTCTTCTCCCGAGTTACTGCTTCTGAAAACCCACTGGAGGGAGGGTCAGCTATGAGTCTGACTTGATGTCAAACAACAACAAACCTTATTGGGGGAATAAAGATATTCTAAAATTGAATTGTTGTTCACTTATAAGGGCAAATTTTAAAAGTCTTTATTAAAACAAAAGAAAGGGAGGTCCTATAAAAAATTAGGGGGAAGTACTCCAGGAAGAAAGAATTAATTGCCTATGCAAACGCACTAGTGTATCATGTTGCTGGAGTAAGATAAAAGAAGTGTGATGCATAATTGGCATATGAGAAATGGCAGGTGAGGAAAACAAAGAAGTGACAAACTCCACTTACACACCACCTTGAAGAATTTGGAATTGATCCTATAGGCAAAGGGAAGTGCTCAGCAAAGTCAGCTTTGTGTTGAGATTCTATTCTAAATGTAAAAGTTCAATGTACTTATTTGAATGCTTTTAATCATATTCTTTTCCTAAGAAAAATGGAACTAATGTCACTTTCTTCCCTTATTAAGATAAACACTGGAAGACAGATGGCATCAGCTGTGTGCGTTATAACTCAGAAGATAGACTTATAACATTCAATCTGGAGATATTTGGCCCTGTTACCTTGATCCAGGATACTCATATCAACATGCCATATCAGTCGTGGGAATTAAGACCACTTGATGTGAATGAAGTGCTTTTTACTGTGCTTACAGTATTTACTGAGATTCAAATTCAAATTAAGGTGAATTAGGGTTATATCAAAGTCAGAGCAAAGAAGAAAATCTCTTTGATAGTGATGAGAGTGTATTAAAGCCATTAATCACTGCTGATTTATATCTTGAAATAATAGGTGTTTTATAAATACATATGAAGTGTACATTAACTAGTTTGTAAATGAAATATAAATTGAATAATTACACTGACAATGACATGTAAGGTTCTAGCTTGATATATTAATGAAGCTACAAGCCTGATTGCAACATGAATTTCAGTTTGTGATCCACGCTAAATAGTTTCCTTGATTTTTATCACCTAGTTTTAAAAAATTCTCTTTGAAAAAAAAAAAATTCTCTTTGAGTCTGGCCTCTCTCTTAATGATCCGCTATTGCTCGTCCATCGTGAATCATACAGCCTGAAATTTATAAAGCTAGAAAATAGGTTAGTGTTTGCTTGGGATTCACAATAGGGATTAGTTGTAATGAATGTTACTGGGATGGTGAAAATATCTAAAACTAATTTATTGTGATGGTTGTAGCACTCGGCAAAGTCATTGAAGTGTTCTCTTGAAATGATTGGAATTTTTATTATATGCCTCAGTAAAATTGTTTAAAAAATTAAAGCTTAAAATACCAAATTTTGCTTTTAATACCAGATCATAGGTGAGAACTGACCACTTTCAAATTTATACTTTACCAAACTTTAAATTGTATAATTTTGCATCATTATGCTGATTTCTTGGGAGCTCTGCTGGTGGCCTTGTGGTAAGATGCTGTGCTATGATCCCAGTGGTGCACAATTCAAATCCACCAGCTTCTCTACAGGAACGGGTTGGGGAATCTCCTCCGGTGCAATTTACTGCCTCTGAAAGCCGGCTGGAGGGTCAACTGTGGGTCAGTCCTAACTCAGTGGCACACAACAGCATGCTAATACCTTGGATGGATAAACAATAAAGTTTAACCTTTAGAAGTTCTAATTAGTGTTGCTCTTAAACTATTTCAATTCATTAGCAATATATTGAATATTCTTTTTTAATTTTATTTTTATTATTTTGTGTTTGTGTGTACCGCCAAATTGGATCTAACTGGTACAGGAGGAGATTGTTCCTCCTTCTCCAGCAGAGCATCTGGTGGATTTGAACTTCTCACCTCTGGGATTGCAGTACAGCTTCTTGCTACTAGGGCACCACAGCTCACCTGAATATTCTTAGGTTATAAATTACCAAACTGGAGACCTTACAAGTCATTGGGTTTCATTCACATGGGAGGAGATGGTCCATCTTTCTCCCACATAGCAGTTGATGGATTCTGACCACCTGCTTTAGCGTTGGTAACTCAACTCTTTGTCTACTGGGGCGTGAGAACTCCCTGACCAAAAAGATTAGGGAAGCTGTTTAAAGAACTGTTAATAAGGTCAATGGTTCTAATCCAACAGCTGCTCCACTGGAGAAAGATATGTCAGCTTTCATCTGTAAAGATTACAGCTTGGAAACCCCTTGGAGGCAATTTTACTCTTATTCTGTAGGCTTGCTATGAGTCATAATGGCTTTGACTTGCTATGAGTCATAATGATTTTGACTTTGGTGTATTTTTGGGAGTTGGGGGAGGTTAGCCTTCTAATTAAAAAAAAATCAATGGTGTGAAAAAAATGAGAAGAAAGGATAACAGTCTTTGTAAGCTTCTTTGAGAGTTCTACTTTGTCTTAGGGGTTAGAAGTTAGAATGGATTTGATGGTACTGTTTAGTGAAACACAGAAATTTTTTTAGAGCAAAACTTCCACATCTATCCTGCATGTTTCTAATATAGGGTGAAACAGAATAAAAATAATGTACAAATAAAAAGATTGGAATTGGGATGAGACTAAAGTACTGCTTTCTTATATAAACACTTTTTTTCCTTGTTGATACTAGGAAAACCTCTGCATGTTAGCTTCAGTCAAACTAAACAGCAATGACTATTCCTGTACTTTAAAAGACAAATGGATGAACCCTATTCCTTTCATTACTGCATTGAAAGAAGTTGGATTGAATATCTTCCCTACTGAGTACTCTCATTTTTATGTTGCTGTAAACAATAAGGCAAGAATGAATCTTTGAAAATTTACTACAGTTTTCATTTAGAGTGTTAAGTATTGACATTTAAAGAAATCTTAAAGTGTATACACTGAGTTTTATGTACTTACTCACGTAAGATTATAGGAAGAGAATGAAGGACTAAGAGACAAGACGAGAAACTGTACCCAAAATCTTTTCAAGTTTAATAATCTGCTTTATGTAAGTCCAAAGTATCATCTTGATAATTAGAAATTAAATATATCCATCACTAGTGTAGAGATAGTCCTGAGTAATTTCTCAATTTGTTGATTTTTCTTCCATGATTGAAAGGTTTTTTTGTTTTTGTTTTTTTTTTTTCTTTTTTTTTTTTTCACTTTATTATTTTTGTGTGCATGTGCCGTCAAATCAGATCTGACTGTACAGGAGGAGATTGCCCCTCCTTCCCCAGCAGAGCATCTGGTGGATTCGAACTGTGCACCTCTGGGATTGTAGTTGCACCTTCTTGCCACTAGGCCACCAGAGCTCCCCTGATTGAAAGGGTTTTTTTTTTTTAAAGATGAAATCATTTCTCATCTTCTCACACATGGCAGATCAGGAAAAATACATAAAAGGACCAATGGCAGATGAAAATTCATTGCCTCCTTAGCTACAGATTGCTTCATGCTACTGATAAAACTTTCTTTAAATGAGATCTTTTCATATTACACTGTGAGCTGCCCGAGGACAGGAGTTGCTTCTGAGTTTTTACTCTGCCAGGACCAAGAAGTAGTTTCTAATCAAGAAAGGTGTGTTGTGTAGACAACAGTTCTATATTCAAGAAACTCTTTCATTGTTTCTTAAATAAGTTTGCTAAGGAAAAGAAAAAAAGACTAAATCTATCTATCTGCCTATTGAAGTGTATAACAAGTTAACTTTTGAGCTTATTAATTCATTTTAAATTAACATGTTTATTAAAATACTAGAAAATGTGTAGGTAGATAGTCACGATAGTCACATGTCATTTGAAAATTATTATATAGATAGACTTTGCATTTGTATCTGTAGGACTCAGTTTGCCTTTTACTCTATAAATGCTTCTATTTAAGAAATAATCTTTGACCCAGAGGAGGAGGCCATAAATGAGGCCTTACTCCTCACTAGCATGCTGCCTTCCCTACACATTTCCTTCCAGAGAGGCCCATCCCTTGGGTATATAACTTTCTAATAAATTTATCTTTACTATTTTGATTGCAAAAAGAGGGAAATAGTCTTTGAATGCCTATAGATGCTAGGCACTATTTTAGATTCTTAGGGAGCTCTGGTGGCCTAGTGGCAAGGAGCTGCACTGCAATCCCAAAGGCATGCAGTTTGAATTTACCAGCTTTTCTGCAGGAGGAAGATGGGTAGTCTCCTCCCGTGCTATTAACTGCCTCTGAAAACCCAGTGGAGGCTCAGGCTCCACAGTATACAACAACATTTTAGATGCGTAGGATCCATCAGTGAATCAAAGAAAGATCCTTGTCCTTGAGGAGCTTACATTCTGAAAGTTTACATTTCTTTTTTTAATTGAGATTTTAATGAAAGTTTATCGAGAACTTGGATTTCCATTCATTCATTGTTGCACATTTTCCTCTAAGATATAAATAAGCACATATATATAAATCACATAGTCTGCTAGAAGATGTAAGTGCTAAAGGAAAATAAAAGATAAATCAGGAATAGTGACACTGGAATTCATCACAATATTACATGAACTGTGAGGCCTCAATGAAAAGAAAAGATTTGAGTAAAACTTGAGGGCGGGGCCTTTTAGCCAAGTGGCTGACTGCAGGAGCAGGTGCAGGCAGAGGCGCCAGCTACAGCAGAACTGTGAGAAAGTGGTCTTGTGGGTTTCAGAATTGAACAGCAAGAAGCTAGAGCACCCAAAGCTGAGGGAGCAAAGGGAGAAGGGAGGAAAAGGAGAGGGAGATGCGGTTAATGTGATGGGTGGATCTGTGACATGTGTGAGGGGGTGGTGGGCAGAGAGGACCTGGATCACTGTTGTTTCTATGCTGAAAGGGAAACTTCTTGGGAGACTTTGAGAGAAGAGACATGCAAGTCATCTTTCAAATGGTTCCTTCTCTGGTGACCTAGTGACAAGAAGCTGCACTGCTATCCTGAAGGCATGTGGTTCAAGTCCACCAGCTGCTCCATGGGAGAGGGAAGGGCAATTTCCTCCCATGTGATTAAACTGCCTCTGAAAACCTGCAGGAGGGTCAGCTATGGGTTGGTTCTCACTCGATGGTATATAGTAACAGAATAGACCGTAGAAGTGCAAAGATGAAAGGGGTACTTGTTAGGAAGTTCATTCATCAATTCTACTTGTTTTTATACTGACAGATGCCTTTGGTCGAATTGAAATCGTATCGGCAAATAGCCCTGTTGAGTTCTGCTTTTGCATTTAGTTGGAGCAAATGGAATTCCTCATGTGGTCCCAGCAAAGTTATTTTTCAGGTACAGTATGCAAGATCCTACAAACTACTTTGTCTTCCAGACAAAATGGCATTCAAAAGCTAAATTAATGTAAGCTATGACTTTCCCCATTAAAAATATGATGTTCAAAATACATTCTCAAAAATTCACATATTTTTAGTCAAACATTCCTGAAGGAAATATCCCTTGCCTTATGAATGAATGGAAACTTTTAATGTGAATTCAAACAAATGAAACTCAGTGCTGGAGTGGACTCTTACTCATAGCTAACCCTCCAACATATTTTCAGAAGTTGTAAATTGCAAGGGATGAAATTGCCTTTCTTCTGTGGAGCTTCTGACGGATTTGAACGAGTTGCATTTAAGTTACCACCACAGCTCCCTGCAGTCTTCACCACCGGAACTCCCTTTAGTCTGAATACAGTTTTAATGTACGAACTCTCACCTGAAATACAACCTGCCAAATTCTTAGAGCTGACATAATACGTTTTACCACAAAAGAGCTGCCATATTGTTCATTTTGCTTGGTTTTGTTTCCCAATCTAGAATATAAGTACTTTGAAACTCAAAGTTGGTTGTAGTAGTTATTGTTTATTCATGAATATTTTGGGGAGGCTCTTTTCTGTTTTGTTGTACTCTTTTACCCCAGCACAAAGAACAATACTAGGTGAACACATGATAGGTGCTTGATTTGTTGAATGAATGTGTACATATGGTTCACGTTGCCATGTTTTTGTGTACCATCACGTTGGAACAAACTCATAATTGACTCTCCAGCGAATTTTCAGAAGCAGTAAATCACACATGCAGAGATTTCCCATCCTTCTCCTGGAGAGCCGCTGGTAGATTTGAGCTGTGTGCCTTTGAGATTGCAGCACAGCTTTTTTATCATAGGCCACCAGAGCTCCCAAGCCCTACCATATTTTTTTAATTGTAACACACACACACCCCCAAAAGAAAAACAAGCCACCAAACGTAATAGGATATTGTTTCTCTAGTTACGATGGTTTTATAGCATGATGAACACCATTAATATCACTAACTCAGGAAAAAGGTTGCACTGGGAATCAGTAGTTATATATATATATTTACCATAATTATTTTTTTCAAATGATGAGAACTGAGTTAATCCTTCAGATGATACTCTAATTACTAATGGTTTTAATTTTTTTTCCCCTTCAGGTGAAGGAGTACCACCCTAACCAAGAATCTGACATTGATCATAGCAGTGGGTTCCTTTTAATGTTTAGTGGTGACAGAGTACAAAGACTGAAGATCAGTGAGTACAGCGAGACCTTCTCTGAAGCGCTTGAGGACAAAACTGAGTTTCATTCGACTCTGTATCACATGGTGAAGGATTTTGCTTCTGAAGGAGTGCTAGATAAAATTAGAAGTACCAACTGCCAGTTTATCAATTCTGTGTGCCAAATGCTGCTCTCAACCAGATTGCTCAGTTATTCTTAATCCGCAGAGGTAAATGGTAGGGATCAAGCAACTTGAAAAAACAGTAGGCATTTCACTAATAAAATGTAACCAGTGAGTGTATTTCATATAGCCATGAAAAGGATCTAACAAGCATTTTACACTCAATTTTTAAGCATTCTGTTTTAATTCTCTGTTAATTATAGTTGGCCTATTGAGAATTTCAACGCTCACGGTATGAAGATTTCAATTCTTTATTTCAATAAGTTTTAACAAATAAAACCATGTATAATATTCCTTCCTTGACAAAAAGAGAGAAGCTCATTAAAATGATCATAGGACAGGTTTCCTCTCTGTATTTTGGTTGAAGTAACTGCAGAAAGAAGGGAATGTAAAATAGCTTACAGTTGAGCCTAGAACCTATGGTTCCATGCTGGTTTCTCTCAGCTAAAAAAATTATTCATTACAGAGTTCAGATACTGAAATTTTAAAGATGAAAGTGTACAAATGGAGATGTGCTTCAGTCAAACCGGTGGTGGCCCATTGTGCTGGAGTCTGGTGAAAGGCCACAGGGCATATTCTAGTGACGTCCAGGAGTCCCCATTCTGTGCAGGAGCTGCATCGACAGGCTTTTGGAAGAATAAGCCTGTGAGGAAACTCATCAAAGCTGCAAACAGTACAATGAATGCAACAGAAGCCCAGAGTGCCTTATTAGCATTTCTAAAGGAAGTCTTCAGATTTGCTGCCCAGGATGTTACTGTGTCATAACTGCAAGGCAAATACAAACACAGGATTTAGTGATACCAATCATTTGTTACTAAACACTCCTTTTGCTAACAATAAAATCTAGTCATTGGTATAGCCAAACTACCACCAGCACTGGCTTAATACAGTGTATTTATGATCTTGATGTTGATCATAATCTGCCCCCGCCTCAATAATTATTAGAATTAAAGAAATAATATGATAATGAGAATCTAATAATAATGTGATTTAGCTATTATTTCACTCTAAGTATGTGAAACTGTTTCTTTCAGCCAAGCAACTTACACCCTTAAACTGCAACTAGAAATATTTATTAGGCAGACGGTAGTCATAGTTCAGATCCACCAGTGACTCAAAGGGAAAAGAGGTTGGACTATTTTCTCCCCTGCAGTTTATAGCCTCTGAAGTCCACTGAAGGGTCAGCTCTGATGAGTTGCCTCCGGGGAGAGAAAGAGCAGCAGACTGTGAAGTAGGCATCTGTGTGCGCCTAAGTATGCCACTGATTTCTCTCTATAACCTGTACCTTGCTGTACTGAAATTGAAACTATAATTAGAAACAGCTACAAAAAGCTGATTACAATAAAATTTAGGTCTTTGAAACCAGCTGATGCAGTGCCAGATTAAGTACTTTATTTAATCATGACCACACAATAACATAGTTCTGTTAACAAGCCTTCTTTATAAATAAATAAACTGGAGCTTAGTAATAGGTGAACTTGCTTGCATCATCCATAACTGTCTTTAAAACGAAAAATCTTTTGTGATCAAGGTGATTCTGGCTCCTGACCATCTTTGCATTTCAGAGTGGCAGAGTGCCATAGGGTTTCATGGCTATGCCCTTTCTTCCAAGGCACCTCTGGTTTGGTTTGAACTGCAGAATTCTTGGTCATTAGTCAAGCTCTTAACTGCCTGTAACTCATTGATTCCTCTTACCTAGACATTGTTGGTAGATACTGCTCTGTTGAGTCAGCTCATAGGAGTCCTATAAAAGTACACCTGCCCCCTGAGGTTTCCTACATTAATTTTTAGCCCTGGTGGCATAATTTGGAATGTGTTGGGTTGCTAACTGAAAGGAGGGTGGTTCCAATCCACCAGTGACTCTGTAGAAAAAAGATGAGGCCATCCCCTCCCCGAGGAAGCTCAATGGAGGGTCTCCACAAGTCTGAATCAAACCAACAGCAGTGGGTTTGGCTCAGTTTTCTGGTGTGTGTTGTTTTGCTTTTTAATCTTTATCTAAGCAGATTGCTAGGATTTTTTCTTTCATAAATCAACTGGTGGATTCAAGCCACCAACCCCTTAATTAGCTGCTGAGAGTAAAATCATTGCCCAACCAGGGCACTTCTCTAGCTAGTTAACCAGTGCCACTGAGGAGTAGACTAACACATCTTCCTCCCATGAAGTAGCCAGTAGCTTCCAACTACTTACCCCTTGGTTGGCATCCAAGTGCTTACCTACCAAGCCACCAGACCTCCTTCATGGCTAGTTACCTACTTGCTTGCATCATCCATATGCTGCCAAGTAGGTTCCAGTGCATCACTACCATAGTGGAAGAAGTAGAACTATCCCATAGGATTTTCCAAGGCTGTAAATCTTTATGAAAGTAGAATGTCATACCACTCTTTTCAAACCCTTAACTTTTGGCAAGTAGCTCCAAAGTTTAACTGCTAGGTCACCTTGACTCTGTCATAACTAGTTGTTGTTATGTGCCTTTGAGTTGAAATCAACTCATTGCTGACCACCCAGGAGATTTTCAGAGGAAGTAAATCACATGCTTCTGTGTCTAGAAGGAAAAGAGACTGCTCATTTTTTTCTGCTGCAGAGCTGTTGGTGGATTCAAACTGTATACCTCTGGATTGACAGTGAAACTCTTTATCACTAAGCTAGCTAGAGGGTTGGAATTTGAGCTAGGCCATGTGGCATCAAAATCAAGTTCCTAATGTTGTAAACTCCACTCTTCCTATAGTATGAATGCAGGAAGAATTACTGTAGACCACAAAGGTTGCTGTTCCTATTAAAGTTAACAATTTGATAAGTCTTTTAAATAGAGCAAAATTTTGATTACAGTAATGCTGTTGACTCCCTTCTCTCATTTTAACAAAAGAAATCATTTAGCAAATGGACAACTTACACTGAAGAAACATCCCATTTTGAAGGAGGATTTCTCTTTTCAGAAAGACTTGGCTTTCTTGTCCTTTCCACTATTTCTTCTTCAGGTGGTTCAGAGTCCTCTTTAGTTCTGAAAATAAAACAGTTTTAAATACTTGGAACTAAGCTGGAGAATATATAGCTCAGAAGACTCATAAATACATGTTTCACTCCAGTAAAATAGGATAGTTCCTATTTCTAAAAGCTAAATTTATTTTTTAGCCATTTATACGAATTTTACTTGAAAACACATATAACTGAAAAATATTTTTTGCAGAAAGTTGGAATACTTGTCAAAGAATAAATAAAACCTGTAAAAACAAACAAAACCCCTGTAAAAACATTGATGAAACATACAAAGAAAATGAAAAACTTGTCTATCACATGAATTAATTTTAGGATCTCTTTCTCTGCACATAGATGTAGTTAGCCAAATATAAAAAAAATATATTTGGATGCCATATTTCCTCTTTTTGCTGTTAGGGACCTCTCTAAAGTACTCAAGAGTAACGGTGTCTCTTTGGAGATGAAGGTGCGCCTGATACAGGCCATGGTCTTTGCAATCACTTGTTATGCATCAGAGAGCTGGACAATGTCTAGGGAGGATAGAAGGAGAATTGACGCCTTTGAGCTGTGGTGCTGGAGAAGAGTATTGAATGTACCATGGACTGCTAGGAAAACAAACAGATTCATCCTAGAGAGGGTTAAACCAGGCTACTCCTTGGAGGCAAAGATTCTGGGGCTTCGTCTGACATACTTTGGACATGTTGCAAGGAGAGACAGGTCTTTGGAGAGGGACATCATGCTTGGTAGGGTGGAGGGACAGCGCAGGAAGGAGGGAAAGACCCTCTATGAGGTGGATTGATTCAGTGACTGGCATAATCAGGATGGGTGTGTCAGAGGCAATGCGATTGGCAGAGGACAGAGCAGGGTTTAGGGCTGTTGTACATAGGGTCGCTATGAGTCGCAAGCGACTCGACAGCACATAACAACAACAACAACAACTCGCTTTCTTTGTTATACAAAATCTACTATGTGGTGGCCACAGCTGGAGCCTGGGTCCTCTGCATGGAGCCTCTGATGTGAGTCTTTACAAGATGGTCAGTGGATTCCTGGTAGGGAGACTTGGTGAACACAGTCTCTTCCCAGAGATCTGGAGTCAAATAGCTGTAGGTCTTGGAGATGGCATCAAAGGTCGCCTTGGCGAAGTTGACCAGGGTGGCTGTGCAGTCCCTGGCTGAGGTGTAGCAGTCGTCAATTCCAGCCATCAGCAGCAGCTTCTTGGGTTTAGGGGCCAAGACGATTCCAGTGCCTCGAGTGCAGGATCAGATGCACCAACACAGAGCCACAGCGCCCAGTCACCTTTCAGGGAATGGTGTGAGGCTTGCCAGTCTTGTTCCCCCAGTAGCCATGCTGCACAGGGACAATGGAGAGCTTGACCAGGATAATGGCCCCACAGATGGCAATAGCCACCTCCTTGGAGCACTTGACACCCACGCCAACATGGGCATTATAGTCTCCAATGGCGACAAAGGCCTTGAACCTGGTCCACTGGCCAGCACGTGTCTGCTTCTGCACAGGTACGATTTTCAAGACCTCATCCTTGAGGGACAATCCCAGGAAAAAGCCAATGATCTCAGTCTCCTTGATGGGTAGTGAGAAGAGATAAATCTCCTCCAAGGATTTGATCTTTATATGTTTGACCAGACAGCCCAGCTTGGGGATGGGGAGCCACTCCTTGTTCTCCCTTGGCCTCCTCAAGCCCCACAGCCCCTGCCACTGCCCTGTCCATGGCTATGGTCCCAACCCCACAGGCTGCTACCAAAGCCTCCACAGACAACTGCTGTGGGCTCCCAGCCCAGGGTCCGTAGGGCTTCCCGCTACACCAGCATCATCTGCCATTTGGTGTTCAATTTGATCTATATGCTTGGCTCCACAGTCAACACTTGGCACCAGTAGCCAGTTAATTGAAAGATGTATTGTGATGGGAAAGTCTGCTGTTAGGTAGAGTCTGCTGTTAGGGGCATCTCCAAAGTACTGAAAAGCAATGGTGTCTGCTGGAGACTAAGGTGCGTCTGATACAGGCCTTGGTCTTTGCAATCACTTGTTATACGTCAGAGAGTTGGACAATGACTAGGGAAGATAGAAGGAGATTTGATGCCTTTGAGCTGTGGTGCTGGAGAAGAGTATTGAGTGTACCATGGACTGCCAAGAAAACAAACAGATTCATCCTGGAAAGGGTTAAACGTGGCTGCTCCTTGGAGGCAAGGATTCTGAGGCTTTGTCTGACATACTTTGGACATGTTGTAAGGAGGGACATGTTCTTGGAGAGGGACATCATGCTTTGGAGGGTAGAGGGGAAGGCCTTCTATGCAGTGGATTAATTCAGTGACTGGGGTAACCTGGATGGGTGTGTCGGAGATAGTGCGATTGGCACAGGACAGAGCAGAGTTTAGGGCTGTTGTACATTAGGTCACAGAACAACAACAACAAAATTCTGAATAGTATTATCTACAGAGAATTCTTGCCATGTGAGCAAAGATAAGTTGATTAATTTACATTGTTCCAGATTAAATAGTATACCCCCAAAATGTGCTGTAAGTCCACACTTATATCCTTGGTACAGTTCTATTTGGACATAGGGATTGTCTTTTGGTTTTAATTAATGAGGCCCTATCAGTGTAGAGAATGTCTCAAACCTGTCACCCTTGAGGTGTAAAAAGAACACACGAGGCACAGAGAAGCAGCAGAGAATAGGGTTGATAGTTGTTAAACCACACAAAGATTATTAAGGAACCAAGGCCCAAGGCTGAGGAGACACAAAGGACTTTCCATGTAGCCAACAAAGAGAGCTGACACCCTAACCTGGGACTTCTGGCCTCCTAAACTGTAAGGAAATAATTTATCTAGTAAAGCCTTGTATTTATGCTATTTCTCTTCTCATAGCACTAGATAGTACAATCACTAATGAGTTCCTGATTGGATTTGAATTTTGAAAGTCCAAGTTTACAATGGCCTCAACAAATGCCAAAAGGAAATGTGTTGAAAAACAATGTTTTTCAGTCATATGTATCTCTAATAAATACATGTCATAGATTTAGGCTTGTATGTAAAGAAAACAAGACCTAAACTCAAGATCTGCTGCATTTTTATAGGTTCTCAAGGCCAGTTTTGTTTTGTTGGGTTTTTTTCACACAAAGACCTTTCAGTAGAAAATGTACTATACTTGTGAAAACAAAAAATAGAACATAACCCATGGGACATATTCAAAGTCACTCTAACTCTGCAAAGAGTTTATTATGTATAAGTGTTAGGGATTGAATTGTATCTCACAAAAATATGTATTGCATATCTGAACTTTTAAAAAATTTTATGTTATTATTTGTGTGTGTGTGTGTGCGTACCATCAAATCGGATCTGACTACTACAGGAGGAGGTTGTCTCTCCTTTTCCAGCAGAGCATCTGGTGGATTCGAACCGTGCACCTCCAGGATCGGCATATCTGAAATGTTATGCCTGTGATTATAATTCTATTTGTCTTTGTTATGTTTAGGAAGTAGGGTTAGTATCTCTCTCTCTCATTGTCATTTAATTGAATTGACTCATGCTTGTAAGGGGAAAGTCTGCTTTCAGGGACCTCTCCAGAGTGCTGAAGAGCTACGATGTCGATCTAGGGTACTAAGGTCTGCCTGATCCAGGCCATGGCCTTTGGCAGTTAGTTGTTATGCATCAGAGAGCTGAACGATGACTAAGAATGACAGAATAATCAAGCCCTTTGAGTTGTGGTGCTGGAGAAGAGTGCTGAATATACCATGAACTGCCAAGAGAACAAACAGACCTGTCCCGGAGAGAGTGAAACCAAGTTACTCCTTGGAGGCAAGGATTTTAAAACTCTATCTCACATACTTTGGACATGTTGCCAGGAAAGATCAGTCCTTGGAAAAAGAACATCATGCTTGGAAGGATAAAGGGACAGAGCAAGAGAGAAAGACCCTGATGAAATGTTGAGATAAATTGACACAGTAAGTGGGGTAATGGAGGCAGGTGTGTTGGAGACTGTGAGATTGCCTCAGGATAGGGTAAGGTTCAGAGCCATTGTTTATAGGGTCATTATGAGTCATTGACACCTTGATGGCACATAACAACAACATATAAATGGAATATTTTAAATAAATCTCAAGAGACATTAAAGATCATCTAAGCAAGCTAGGAAGTTGAGCAGGGAAAGAGCTGTCCAAGCCACGTGGCAATTGCTCAGGGACAGATTTTTCAGAAGAGACCTTCTAGAGCCTTCAGGGAAAAAGGAAAAAAATCTTCCTCAGAGTCACAATCCTGAATTCAGACTTCTAGTCTCTCAAATGGTGAGAAAATAAATTTCTGTTTGTTAAAGACACTTACTACATGTGGTGTTTCTGTCGAAGCAGCACTAGGTAACCAAGACAAGTAGATATTCACAGAATTACTCAAAAAGGGACTCATTGACAGTACATAAGGTGTCTGATAATCGTATCTAAAGATTAAGTACCTATTACATAATAGATACAAAATGAACATGTGTAAGAAGAATTATACAATCCTTTCATTAAAATCTCTTTAACTGTACAGATGAGGAAATTGGTACCCACAAAGTTAAGTAATTTGCCCAAGTTTACCCAGTGACTCAGAGCAGCATTGCCCCATGTCCTTCCTTCTTGACGTTTTCCTTTAATTTTATACATAAAATTTTATATTTCTCTTACTCTCGATGCACATAAATGAAAGAATATGTACACAATACATATGTTGTTGTGTTGTTAAGTGCCATCGAGTCGTAGGTGACTCATAGCGACCCTATGAACAAAAGACCCGGACACTCGTATAACTTTCATCCTTTCTCCAGGTTCATAGGATTTCCAGAGGCAAACTGTTTCAGATGTGGATGCCACCCCTACTTCCAAGCTTGTTTTAATCAGGGAGCTCCACCAAACACTGTCCACCATGGGTAATCATTCTCGCATTTGACACATCAGTGTCACAGTGCTCAGCTTCACAGCAACCATGAGTTAACTCTGTACAGCAAGTGGACAGACCAGGGCTATACAATCTAGAGGAATGTTTCACCAAAAACAATTAAAGACAGGCCTGAAGGCTGCGGATTAGAGTCCCCCACCTTTGGTTTTGTAGCATCACTTTCTGCTCACTAGGCTACCTGAACTCTCTCTATGCTGGTATATGTTACAAATTGTGTGTGTGTGTGTGTGTTGTGTGTGTGTGTGTAAATATGTATATATGTATGTGTGTGTGTGTATACACACATACACACACACACACACACAGAGGAAGCTCTGATGGTCTAGAGTTAAGAAGCTGCACTGCAAGTTTTAATCCACTAATTGTTCCACAGGAGAAGAATGGGTGGTCTCCCATGCAAGTAACTGCCTCTGAAAACCCGTTGGAGGGTCAGCTATGGGTTAGTTCTCATTCAATGGCACACAACAATACAACATTTATACATAGGTTGCTTTAAAAAAATGTTCTAAATTAGTAAAATGTTTATTGACCTTCTCCTCATGAGAGACATCTCTTGAGAGAAAAAATTCTCTCTGCAAGTCTGGCAAATTCTGCAGTTTTTCTAATTCAGGCTCTCTAGTCTTACTGTTTGGAGTACAAGTGTGACTGTATCCACAATAATGGATTTTTAGTTTATAAAAGCTCTGTTACAATGGATTATCTTTTTTATGATGGGGCATTAATATCATGTATGAATAAACTTGGCTGTTGATATTTAAGATCCTAATCATGCCAGGTTAATAATCTTACCATGCTTCACTTACTTTAATTCCCTTTTTTCTTCTTCAGCATCTGCCCAAGAGTAGGTGCTGATGAATCTATGTAATGACGGACGGTGTTCACTCTGCTTTGATCCCAAGATACGCCTAAAGAAAGGTGATTATATGCATTTACCAAATAAAGTATATCTTTAACCATTATGAATTTATTTTCTATTACTTGAATTAACACGAAATTGTCATGCTTAAATCCTTGATACATTTGTGCAACTTGTAGTTCATGATAAATATGTTTTGTGACATTATATAAAAGTTATTTTGCTTATATTCACATCAAATGTTACTCTGTCACTTATTAATTTTCCTGATTTAAAAATATTTTCTCTTTTGGTTCACATACAAAATTCATATACATTGTTTCATACTTTTCCTTCATTCACATTGTGTTTCATACAGTCATTCCTATGATGTTATGTCTAGTCTCCTGCAACCCAATAGTGACCCTACGTACAGCAGCTCTGAAGCCAGCCCTGACCTGAGCCAGTCTCACCAATTTGGAGACACCAACCCCCATTGCCCCAGTTACTCTATCAATCTATCTCATCTGGGGTCTGTCTTTCCTGTGCTGTCCCTCCACGCTTCTGAGCATTGAATTATGCCCACCATTATTCCCGTTTTTCAGGTCCCTGTCAGATCATTCCCATTTTCTTTACCCCCTTTGTGTTTCACTTATTTAAAATGTTTATCTATGCTATCTCGTTTATAAAATATTAAGGTTCTGAGAAAGCTATCATTAACATTGCACTTACCAACTGCTTGACCTCCTACTGAGTCGGTCATTATTTTCCATCCCAGCCACCTTTATAAGTATAAATATTAAAAAATAATTGATGAAATATTAGTGAGATAATTTCATATTTGTAGCATATGAAAAACAAATTTTTTTTACTAAAAATGCTTATGAACTTGCTTACCACTCCAGCATTTCCAATATTTCTGGGCAAAGAGGCAATGGTCACTCTTCGAAGAGAAGAGGGCTACACGGAGGAGGAATATGCACGTTTAGAAAACTCTCTGTTTTACTCTTGTGTGCAACACTAGTGAACACACTGGACATATACATGTATGCACTTGCCTACTGCTGAATTAAATAATTAGGACCATGTTAAAGGTGTTTGCCTTAACATGTCAAATTGTCCTCTGGAATAGTCTGCTTTCCCCAATATTATGTTAACCGTAATTTTGGCCTTATCAAACCTGAAATATATAGCATTGTTTTGGATTTATTTGACTTAGTAACACTGAACATTTTTTTTTTTTCTATTTTGAATAGTCACCTGTATTTCTGTTCTCAGAACCATCTGTTCATGACAGTTATTTACATACTAATAACGTTTATGAGATTTCTGGAAGAAATATTTTTTTAAATGGCTAATACAGTCAAATGTTCAAATGCTGTCTGTCAGATACTCCTCTAAATCTGAACACTCAGATTAAGACAGACTAGGAAGAAGGATTGGCCACCCACTTCTGAAATAGCAGGCCTCTGAAAACCCTATGCACAACAGAACACAC